GGAGAGAAGGGCGGGAAGGAAGGGGAAAAAAGGGCGGGCCAAAAGGCGCCAATCTCGGGCAAAGAGCGCGCCCGCGAAATGCGAGGTGGCCCCAGGCCCGGGCATGGGGCGCGCGCCCCGCGAACCGACCTGCAGTTGGCAAATCCGCGCGGCGAGCAGCGGACTGAGAAAAGCTGGCCAACAAGTGTGTGTGGGACTTCGAATGAACGGACCTGGCCAAGCAAAGCCGCCTGGCCGCTGCAACGCTGGGCGTGAAAGACCTCGCGCGTCGGAGCCTCGTGGGAGGTCGCCGTCGGGCGTCGGGGCCCGGCGGAGGTGCCGAAGCGAAGGCGGTGGAGAGCCCGCCGCAGCGCGGCCCGCTACGAGAAGGCGGGGCAGGTGACAAAGGAGCTCTTGAGGCTCAGCCCGAGGGTCCGACAAAAGATGCAATGCTGCGCGGGCAACCTAGAGAAGATCTCTGTCGGTCACGTGTCCGGACACTGGGAATGCTTGACCCGTTCGCCATGGCGGGCCGCGTCTCAACGGCCCTCGAGATCCTCGGCCACGCATCGTTTCCCATCGACATCAAGAATGGGGCCTCTTTGGAGATCACGAATGCTCAAGAGTGCTGTCAAACTTGCTCCACCGGGCTCGTCAGGGCGATTTCGACGGCGTCATGGCGGCGCCGCCGCGCGCGTCGCCGAACGCCCTGCGCTACGTTCAAGTCTGTGCCCATGGGGCTTGCCCGAGGCCAAGGTTCATCCCCAGCTGCTGGTGTCCAATGTGATGATCAAGGCCGCGCTGAAGGTGATCCGCTTGTGCTTCTTTCGCGAGATCCCTTTCGCCCCCGAGGGCCCCCCGAGCGAGCATTCTGTGGAGCGTGCCCTAGAACAGCGATGTACCACTGGGGGGGGGCCCTGGAAACGCGCGCGAACATTGGCTCGGATTCTTTGACCAGGATGTGGTTGTTCAGGGGGGCTCTTCGCTGTCATCCTCGAAGGTGCGTTTGCAGGAAGTCTGGTACAGCGCATATTGGCCTGCCTGGACAAACCACTGGCCTTTGGAGGACGTTGATTGCCCAATCCTGCCGAACAAAATCGCACACTTCCGGGCGCCTGCCTTTGGGAATCAACTCCGATACGTTCGCTTCCGCAGCGCGCGCAATTTGAGCTTGGGTGGAGCTGGCCAGCTCTGTTAAACAATATCGTCGTTACTCATACTGGCTTTTTTTTCGGCATGGTGCGCTCCTCGTCAAACAGAAGGATTCACTGCCCCAGCTGAGAAAAGATATCATGGACGATTAAAGATTCGGGCCCCTTGGGCCTCTCTGGGGCCCGAGAGGGCATCAAGACCGCTCCAACTGGCCTCGGCGCGGGCCAAGACGGCCCCTAAGACGCTCCAAAATGGCCTCAGGAGGGCCCAAAGCGACCCCAAGTCGGCGCAGGGGGGATCCAAGAGGACCCCCAAGAGCGCCTCCAGAAGCCCAGATCATCGATTCCCCAATCGGTTCTGCAAGATTTTCGTGTATTCGTTTTCGACTCTCGGGGGCCCATGACGGCCCAGGCAGCCCCCAAGATGATCCCAAGACGGCGCCAGGCCCCCAGAATGGTCCACAAGGGACCCCAAGAGAACCACCAGGCGGCCCCGAGAGGCCCCCAAGACGGCCTCCGAAGGGGCCAGACGGCGCAAGACCGCCTCAAGACGGCCCAACAGGCCCACAAAAGGCCCCGAGGGGCCATAGATGCGCCCTAGAAGCCCCAAGAAGCCCGCAACGATCCCCAGGAAGCCTCCAAGAGGCCGGCAAGAAATCCCCAAATGGCTTCAAACAACCGTTAACAAACCCGCGGAGTTGTATGCGAATGGCGCTTTGTTGCCATGCCCATCGAAATTTGAACTTGGCGTCGTTGTCTCGTGCTGGCGCGTGGTGAAATGCTCAATGCCCTCGTGGACATTCGGACGCTCGTCCTGGCGCTGAGACGGGGTGGGCGCATCCGCCCCCCGTGGCGCTGGCAGCGCCCTGGAGCGGGCAGAACGACGCGGCAGAATTTTGCGGCAGACGAGCAGGGCAAACCATCCAACACCCAGTCATAACGAGCTCCGGACGTGCACCTTGCGCCCTGGGCGTCTGGGACCCTCTTGGGCACCTCTTCGGCCGTCTTGGAATGATCTGGGAAGCCTCTGGAGCCGTCTTGGACGCCGCGAAGGCCGAACAATAGCAGATGCGAAATATGTATATATATATATATTTTTCAGTGGGACTGGGGCCTCTTGAAGCTCTCTTGGGAGGGCTCTTGGAGGCCTCTTGTAGCGTCTTGGAAGTGTTGGGCCGTCTGGAAAGCATCTGGGGCGTCTTGGATCGATCGCTCGGCGACTCGGGGTCCCCTTGCACCGTTTGAAAAGCCTCCTGGAGCCCTTTTGGCCCGTCTTGGGTCTCTCTTGAGGCACTCTGGAGCCGTCCTGGGGCCCTCCCAGGGAGTTTCGGACCAAGCCCGGCTGGCGCACCGAAGATTCCGATTTCTATGTGTGTAGGTACCCGCTGTATTAGGACAGCTGTATATGTAAATGCGTATGGACACGCTTATGACTAGGTATATGCATACCGCTTTTAGATGAAGCGTCACAGAATTTAATCGTGCTCTGAAGCAGAACTCCGGGACAGGGTCTGGGAGTGGCCTGCCTGACGCGCGAAGCTGCTGGATTCAGCCTGCTCCCTGTCGAATCTTGCCTGCTCGGGGGCAATCAAGGGGGGCTTCATAATTATGATGACGCCCCTACACCTCGGGCGTCGACTCTCACTCGGGTGGCGAATCAACGGACCGGCGATTCGAGAAAACCGTGTCTCACGCCCGGCATGTATAATCAGCGGGCGCGAACAATCTCGTTGGATTCCGCAGATCATGTTCAATATGTGCATGCTGATCAAAGGCATTGCTATAACTCAAGCACATCCATCTTACATGGCGGGCGCTCACGGGCATTCGCACATGAGCTTTCAGAGCCAATGACGGCCAGGAGGTTCCAAGAAGGCCCCGGGTCGCCGAGCGATCGGTCCAAGACTTCCAGGATAGCTTTCAGACGGCCCGAGACGGCCCCTTGCAGACGTGGTAACTCGGGCGGCCTCCGCGACGGTAAATAATGCGAACAAACACGCCACCGCGAACAACTGCTGCAGCGGCGGAGCCGGCGTCCAGCCAAGTCCGTGCAAGATGCAAACAAGAAAACGGATCCGATTGGATAACGTTTGCGAGCGTAGCCAGAACGCTCGGGATTAATAATCATATTCTACGGCCGGATGCAAGTCCGCGAACGGGCCCTGGGCTCGCCCCAAAACGCCATGAACCCGTCGTCGTCGTTGGCTCGTCGTCGTCATCGTCGGCGGAATCGTCATGGCCGACTGTGTTGCCGTCGCCGTTGCCGTGCCCGCAGATTCAGGAGGCCTCTGACCTACCATGGTACGGTGGCGGGGTAAGCTGAAGGCTACCATATACATGTAGGTAGGTGTGGTATTTCATTATATATGTGTACAACACACATACACTTGCATACAGAGAGATTGCGATACACACGCACACACACATACATATATATATATATATATATATGTATCGAGAGGGAGAGAGAGAGAGAGAGAGAGAGAAAGAGAGAAAGAGAGAGAGAGAGAGAGAGCGAGAGAGGGAGAGAGAGAGAGGAAGAGAAAGCTCGCAGCGGAATGGAGACCCCCAACTGGGAAATCGTTTCGTTTCGTTCGTGTCGTGCGTGCGGGCAAAGCGAAGCTGCGTGGGCGCGCGAGACGAATGAACCTGCGGTTGCTGGGGCGAGCTCAAGACCAATGATTCTCCCCCGCCCGCCCGTTCGGCGGTGGCTTGCGGTGTCCCGCGGTGTCCCGTGGTGTCCGCCGTCGCTAGGGCGAATCCTAGACAAATGATTCTCCCCCTCCCGCCCGTCCGGCGGTGGCTCGCGGTGTCCCGCGGTGTCCCGTGGTGTTCCGTGGTGCCCGCCGTTGCTAGGGCGAAATCAAGGCAAACGGTTCTCCCCCGCCCGCCCGTCCGTCCGTCCGTCCGGCGGTGGCTCGCGGTGTCCCTTGGTGCCCCGTGGTGTCCCGTTGAGTGTGATCGATAGTGAGCTCCATACTGAGACCGATGTCGTGCCCCGAGGTGTCCCGTGGTGTCCCCAAAAATGAAATCGATATTGAGGTCGACAGGTGTTCCGTGGTTGCCCGTGGTGTCCCGTTGAGTGAGATCGATCGTGAGATCGATACTGAGATCGATGTGGTGCCCCGAAGTGTCCCGTGGTGTCCCAAATAATGAGATCGATAATGAGATCGATAGTGAGATCGACACGTGTCCCGTGGTGTCCCGTTGAATGAGATCGATAGTGAGATCGATAAGGAGATCCATCGTGAGATCGATGTGGTGTCCCGTGGTGTCCCGTTGAGTGAGATCGATCGTGAGATCGACAACTGTCCCGTGGCTTTCCGTGGTGTCCCGTTGAGTGAGATCGATAGTGAGATCGATTGAGTCAGATGCTGGTTCCTCCCTCTCCCCCCAACAACCTCCTTATCACCCGAAGGGTGTTCGTATAGGCCAACACACACAAGTGTACATGTGTAATGTATCGATGCACATAGGGTGATCCAAAAGGGTGTACTCGTGTATCTCTATCTAGGCATAGAAAAGAGAGTGTGATGAATATATATATATATATATACATAGAGAGAGAGAGAGAGAGAAAATTAATAATAGACAATATATATAGAGAGAGAGAGAGAGAGAGAGAGAGAGAGAAACAGAGAAAGGAGGAGAGAACGAGAGAGAGACAGAGAAAGACAGAGAGAGCGAGAGAGAGAGTGAGAGAGAAACTGAGAGTGCGAGAGAGAGAGAGCGAGAGAGAACGGGAGGGGCAAGCGATATTGGAAACGCGCTTCAGCCAATCTATCGCGCAAGCGATGTCCGAAAACCACTGGGCGACGACGACCCCCCACACCCACAAAGTGCGTACGCGCGGCTGCGCGCGGGCCTGTCCTGGTTATTATAGTCGATAGCCTCGCGCGGGCACGGCACGAGAACAATCAACCGCACCCACCGTCGTGGTGTCCTCCACCTCCTCCGTCTCCTCCTCCCATCTCTTTCTCCCCTTCCCTCCTCAACCTGCCCCTCTTCCCCTTGTCCTCCTCCTCTACTTCTCCTGCGACACATAACAGAAATCAGCGGAAGCATCGGTGACAGAATAACGCACTACGCTATCGTCGTCGTTGCGGAGGGTCTGAAGGCGTTTCTGCAGTCGCGGGCTGGACGCAGAGTGGAAAGCCGTCCAGGCTGGACGCAGAGTGGAAAGCCAGCCAGGATGGACCGGTCTGAGGATGGATTTTGAACTTTGGAGGTCGAGGGGGGAACCACCAGACGCCACAAAGCCGCCAACGTGCCCAGGCATGCGGGACGCATGGAACTCCGTGCACGCAGGATCTAACGATCTAACACGGGCTTGGCACTGCGACTTCTTTCTTCTCCCAGGCTGCGACGCAAGCGTGTGGACTGTCCGCGATTCGCTACTTTGGGAGGCCTAACTAGGTGGCGACATCCGAACCCTACCCCCCCCACCCACCGATCCTCCTGAATCGATGGGAGAAGGGGGCAGGGCTCGGAATTCGCCAATTGCTCGACGCATTCCGAACCCTACCTCCACCGCCCATCCAGTTGCCTGAGTCGTTGGTCGGCGAGGGTATGGTTCGGATTTCGCCGTCGACAAACGGCAGCACAGCGGCCGACAGTATCGGGTGCGATTCAGCTTCGACGGGAGAACGGCGGAAGAGCGCGAAGGCAACACTCACCGGTGCGGCAGCGGCGCCCACGGGCGCCCCTTTTCCGCACTTCGCCTGAAGCCTGTGACGTCCTTCCTACCTCCCCCTCCTCCTCCTCCTCCTGGTCCCTCCTCCTTTTCCAGCCTGGGTACTGCCATCGGGAACGCTAGATAAGGATCGAGGCCCGCTTTGGCCCCCAAAGCGCCTGGGTCCAGAGAAACAATCACGGGAGGACCTGAGGAACAGCGAGCCCCTTCCGAACCAGAACTGCTTCTTGTTTCAACATCCTGACTGCTATCCTCCTCTCTCTACTCCAGCTACGCTTCCTCCCCATATGCCCAGGCCCCTCCCCCTCCTGACGCACGGCTTGAGCTGAGGGCAAGGCCGAGCAAGCGGGGACAAGCTTGGCAAGACCCCCGACGGGAAATACCTCTGACGGCCGGCTAGCGTGTGACATCCTCCACAGGGCAAATCATGCCGCCGCCAGCCAGCGATACTGCTGCTCGGCGGGGCATGGTACCCCTACACCCATCGTGCTATCATAATGGGGCACTGAAGAAGAAACGAAGGAGCTTTTCTGGCCACGGCGAGTCTCGGCCACGAATAGGCTCCCCGACTTAGATCAAATCGCTCGAGGAATCCGAGCCCGAAACCTGGCGCCCACCCGACGCCGACGCTTGCAGCCGCCGGCGCCCCGAGCAGCCGGAGCGGAGCGGAGGCGACTCAAAATGGAAAACAGCGGGCTGGCGGCCGAATGAACGGGGGTGATACAGTCGGAACGTGGCCACAATGGTTTAGGTTCAGGTCGGGCATGTCCCCCCTCAGGTGGATTTTAAACGAAAGATGCGAATTACAAACAAATGCTCCAAGATAGCAAACAATACTCAACAACTCGTCCCCGGACGATTTGTTGACTACTTTTGAATATCCCTCCTGTAGAAAGACAGGCCCGACTTAAGGCTGGCGGCCGAATGAACAGGGGGGATACAGTCGGAACGCGGCCACACTGACGCAGGTCAAGGCCACGAACCCCGTCGTCGAAGGCCCAGTGCACCACGGCGATGTCCCTAACGAAGAGCGTTACAAGGTGGAGAATCCAGATACGAAGAACAGAAGGGTACCCCTGCAGATCTTGACTTGGTCTTGACCCTCGTGCCAGCTGTACGGTAGAAACATAAGGTAATAACTCTTGCTGCAAGGGATGCTGGGGTACGTTCGTCGCTAAGCTTCGAGCTTCCTGAGGTGCCTCAAAACTTCTGTGGGTCCCGGTGGCCATTGAAGGATCATGAACTTCAGTGGGGCACCTGCTGACCGGCCAATTTCTGTTTCAGTGTGCCTACTGTTTGTAGCGGACGGGAGTGAAAAGGGGGAAGAGGTTTCCGCCCACTTCCCCCTCCTCCTCCTGCTCCTGCTCCTCCTCCTCCTCATCCTCCTCCCCATTCCCTCGGCGAGGGCCGGTTGAGAAAACGGCGGCTTTCCCGACTGGCCCACCTCCGTCCAAAGTCGGTCCCCGACCCCTTCCGGGGGTCCATGCTGGAGCGTTTCTAGGCGGGTGCAGCCGTGGCGGCGAGACGCCTCCAATCACTACGCGGCGTAGTGACACCAGCGGCAGCGAGGAACGAGGAGAAAAAGCCAATCCGAACCCTCCTCCTCGTCCTCCTCCTCCTCCTCTTTGTCCTCGTCCTCCTCCTACTCCTTCTCCTGACCCCAGCGAGCCCCAACAGAGGCCCACACGGCCCCCAAGACAGCCCAACGAGCGCCCAACAGCGCCACGAGAGGGCTCCAAGGCCCAAAAAGGTTTTGAAGGCTCTGGAAGTAATGATCACCGTTCTTTTGATCGACGCCCTCCGAGATAGTCCCAAGAGGCCTCGAGGGCTCCAAAAGGCCCCGAAGAGGACTTCAGGAGAACCCGACCCCCCCCCCCAAAAGTACCAAGGGGATCCCAAGAACCTCCAACATAGTCCCACGAAGGCCCATAACAAACCGCGCGGGAACCCCAAAAGGACCCGAGGATGGCCTCCAAAAAACGGTAAGCCGGCTGTCAGAATCTTCGTCGTCGTCCTCCTCGGCTTCATGCTCTCCTCCTAGCCCTTCTCTTTCTCCTCGTCCTCCCCATCGTTTTCCTCCTCGTCCTCGTCCTCCTCTTCGCTATCGTCCTCGTCCTGAGTCTGATCATGCTGATCCAGAACCCCTTCCGCTGCGCATTCTACAATCTCCTGCTCAAGGCAACTCGCCTGGGCAACGCTTCTGGATGGGCTGGCGGGGGTACTTTTTGTTCGCAACCGCTAGCGGACAGCCGCGCGGCGTCGACAGTCGAGTGGAGCCCGGCCTACGTGGACCAGGGCGAATGCCTAAACAACAGCTGGCAAACGTGGAAAAGAAGAGGGCAGGTGGAAAAGGGCGGGCGGCGGACGGGCAACGAAGAGGAACGGGCGACTAACGCGGCACAGCTCAGATGCCTACGGCCACGCCCGAGCGCACCAGTGAGCCCGTCATCCTCGGAGTACGTGCGCAGCAACGTGTGACCGCATGAGGCCGCGGCGAGAGTAAGCCTGGGAAGCTGGGAAGGCCGCCCCCGCCGCCCCCCCAGGCCCCCAGACCCCCGCCGACACCCGCTCAAGACACCCCCCCCGAACCCCTCCCGGGTCCGTCGGATGGACGGAGCCGCGCCCGTCCCTGGTGTTAGATCGGGCCTGTCCCCCTACAGGCGGATTTGGGGCGGAAGGAAAAACTCAAAGATATTCCCAACATGCGCAAACATAGTTAAAACATTGCCCCCTAACTTTTTCTTTCAAAAAACCAAAAACAACTATTTTTGAATATTTCCTTTGTAGAGGGACAGGTCCGACGTAACCCGTGTGTCGAGAACCACCGGACACGCCCCAAAAAGCTCGTAAGACGCCGCCACCGCCGCCACCGTCGCCGTCGCCGTCGCCGGCGCCAGCGCCGTCGCCGTCGCCGTCGCCGCCGCCGCCGCCGCCGCCGCCGCCGTCGTCGTCGTCGTCGTCGTCGTCGTCGTCGTCGTCGACGTCGTCGTTGTCGTCGACGTTGTTGTTGTTGTTGTTGTTGTTGAACATTATTACTTCTAAAGAATAATTATTGTTGGGGCCCCTGGTGCGCGACCCCCCTCCAAAACCTAGGCCGCAGCTACATTTTCATCATTTTTTAGCGAAAGCTTCAGAAAAGTGAATTATTACCGGATCCGGTTGTTTTGTTGTACTCCGTTTTCCCTTGCAAAAAACACTATAAAATGAAAATTCTTGTTCTTACTTGATCAAATTGCAAGAATCCCTTGCAAAAAATAAGGTAAAGTGGACATTCGTGCGCGCAAGACGAAATCCTTCCAAAACCTTAGGTTTCGTAGCGATTTTAACATAAAAACATCAAAAACCCAATGGTTTTTTAAGAAAAAATTGTCAAAATGTTCTTCCGCGCGCTCTTGCGGATTCGTAGGAAAACCAACACTTTTTAAACAATTCTGTCAAACGGGCTTTTGCGAGCAACTTTTTCGAACTTCTGCGACAACGTTTGCGCACCTGCCAGGGCCATCATCCCTGTCAAATAATACCATGCGGGACATATTCGTTTTTTCTTCGCGCGCGCACGCCGAAATCTCCAAAAATCATTGGGTTTTTAAGAATTTTAGCACCGCGCATAATAAAATCACACGAATCGCACCGTAGGTCCTCGAAAAACACCTGCACGACTTTTCAAAATTTCCACCCGCGCGCGCTGTCCGTTCTCAAAAAACCAATGGTTTTCCAACATTTATGTTACATGAGCTCGCGCGAGCTACTTTCGCATCTTTGCAACGGGGTTCGCGCGCCTGCCAGGGGCCAGAATCCCTTGCGGTTGCGCCATATGTTGCGCCCTCGGCCGCCGAGAATAAAACGCCCCTCTATTGGTTGCGTCATAGGTTGCGCCCTCGGCCGCCGAGAATAAAACGCCCCCCTACTGGTTGCGCCATAGGTTGCCCCAGGAGGCCTTCAAGAGGCCCCAAGAGCCCGCCGTGAGGATCCAATAAGCCCCCAAGAGGCCCCAAGATGGTTCCAAGAAGCCCCCCAAAGCCCTTCAAGAGGACCCCAAGCGGCGCCAGGAGGCTTCCCTCCTTCCCCAAGAGGACCCCAAGCGGCCCCAGGAAGCCTCCGACTGATCACTGGCACATCCGTAGCCATCTCGGATCAAGGTATCGCCTGTGTTCTTGGATGGTCCATGGCTTTGACGGCGAAAGCCCTTGACGAGCAGTATGGCCCGGAGCTGTCGCGGCCTCCCTTGGCCGACTGCGAGAGCCCGTATTATTTGCATCAGGCGCTCGTTGCAAAGGGTATCCAGATCAGTCACCAGGCGTGCAAGACTTGGTGGGGCAAGTATCGGGTTGTGCCTGGCAAGGTTAGTATTTCTAGCGCCCAGGAGCTGGAGGAGCAGCACGGTTCTGCCATCCGCCACCTGGGCATCGAGTATAATACACCTTTCAAATTATGCGGGGCGCTCCGACAGTTGGATCCACCACTGCATGTGACAGATTGGGTCGCAAAGATGTGGCTACTGCAGTATTCTTCCAAAGAGACGCTTGTCAAAGTGCAGAACGCTGGCCATCTGGAGACCTGGTATGGAGAACGTATTCGCACAGACATGCCCGAGGGGACTACTGACGGGGCCGTCTTGAAGCAGTGGCTCCTGGGACATTTATCTGTATCTGCTGACGCCAGGGTATGTCAGAAGTGGCTCAGCACGGAGTGGGGCGCCAAGGGAGCATTGAATACTGCCCAAGCTGTGGAGGAATGTATAGGCCAGCGTCTTCGACTCAATCAGTATCGGGAGAGCTTCGCCGACGAGGCCGCCGCGGAGGTCCTCTCGCAGATTCTCTCGGAGAGCGACCCTCCCGTCGCTGTCAGCGGTATGGTTTTGAGGCAATGGTACGTGAAGTATCACCCTGACTCCGGACCTTTGCAGTATGACACGGCTGAAAAGCTCGACGCGGCACTTGGTGACCACATGCGCGCGGTATATCCAGGGCTGAAGTACCACACCTTGCATGCCGTGTTGCGTATGCGACGGAAAGCTGTCTTGGTGTCCCGAGGAGTGTTGAGACAGTGGTGCGATGCGTATGCGTCGGTGAGCTCTTCAGTGCAGGCGGCGGCTTCATCCGCCCAGGCCGTCACCAAGCGTGTATTGAAGCGCCCGGCGGCACAGGTCGCAGGCGGTGTATTGAAACGGCCAGCCGCCGCCGGATCTGCCCGCGTGGCCAAACGGCCTGCCGCGGTCGACTGGGAGGAGCCCGTATCCAAGCAGCAGGCCGCGGCAGCTTCTTCCTCCACAGATGTGGTTCGTATGACGCTGATGACGGTGGAGGCTCTAGAGGCGGCATGCGGCCAGCGGTATCGAGAGGAGGTCTCCGACCTGGGCCTTGGCCTCGACTACCGGAATATGCAGGTGCGTCTGAAGGCCTGGGGGTATGAGACGGGTCAGAATGTCTGTCGAGAGTGGTTTGCCAGGTATCGCCTCGGAGACGGTGCCAAACACGGCAATTCCGCCGTCTACGCGCTGTCGCGCAGGGACCTCCAGTACTGGTATCACGTAGAAGGCTTGAGGGGGCGAGCGCTGGTGGACAAGTATCGCGCGGAGACCGGGGTATTTGCCCATTGCGGGAATCTTCAGACGTGGCTGAAGGCGCCCTCTCAGCAGCTGGCACTACTGGAGAATGCTGAGGACATACATCGCCACGTATGCGGGGAGTTTGTCCTGGAGCAGCTGCAGAAGGGCGTCTCGGCCGAGGAGGTGAAAAAGCAGTTATTGGCGCAGTATCTCGTTGATTGCAGGACCACGCAGCGGCTCATAGCGTATCGTCGCTATCGCGAGCAGCGTGGCGAATACTGGACCAGCGACCACCTGGAGCAGCACGAGTGGGAGTTCTTGTATTCCTTCGTCTCTCTGGATAGCAAGCTCGGGCACACCCGGGGGGTTGCTCCCTCTCTGCGCGCCCGGGCCAGATCTGCTCTGGAGACTGTGCGTATATCCTTATGTGAGCGCTTGGGCGTGGCGGAAGAGTTGGTGCCTTTGCACAATCTTGCGGTATTTTTTGGAGAACACGAACGGCATGCCAGGTTGGCTCTCGAGTATCCGGATGCCTTCGTATACAAGGATGTGCTGCCAGGCCCTGTGTTGGAGGCCTACGAGAAGACCTTCCAGGGCCAGGTGCTGCCCAGGACTGCGCACGCGTGTATCTCCGACACAGAGCACGGCTGGTATGCGAGAGCTTGCAGCGTGGCGACAGCTGACCGTTGCATAGTATTCCCGAAAATGGCGGCGGACGCTTGTCTTGTTGCTGCGTATGCCATGTTGAAGTGCCAGGAGGTATTTCAGCGACAGTCTTGGTCCATGTCATTACTCACCAGTATCCAGGCCACCTACCATAAGCAGTATAATTTGACGGATTTTGCGTTCTGGGTGTGCTACGGGAGTTGGTCCGCTTGCGAGGCCTGCGGCTCGTTCTTCTTTAATGACGAGTATTTCTCGAATCGTGTATATCAGGACCGCAGCACGTCGGAGCAACCAGACATGCTGGCGGCGTATCGTCGGCAAGTACCGCACGACCCGGTGGTGCACGCCTGTGGCCAAGTTGGTATATCTTCGAGATGGTGGTATAAGCCAGGCATGTATACGCCTGTGGTTGCCACATGCCCTTGCTGTTCTGGCAAAGAGACCCCTCTCGAGAAGTTCAACCGGCGTATGCAGAACCACGGCAAGGCCCTCAAGGTAGCAAAGACGTCGCTTCTCTATGTCTCTCGCTCTTTCTCTATGTCTCTCGCTCTTTCTCTGCTTCATATCTATCATATGAACACATCTATCTCGCTCTTTCTCTGCTTCATCGCCTTCCCAGGAAATTGCCCCAAAAATGTGACCAACTATCTTGGCAGTGCGTACCATCTCACGTGTACCGTGTACCACATCTTCTCAGGTTGCCTCACACATGTGACGAATCTCTTTCTATCTCTCTCTCCTCTGGCTCTCTGTCTTGCTCTCTCTCTCTCTCTCTCTGTCTCTCTGTCTTGCTCTCTCTCTCTCTCTGTCTTGCTCTCTCTATGTCATGCGCAACGAATGCACGATGCGGGGCACATGCGGGGCCCAAACAAGTGATCAACCTCTGCGGGTGTGTACTCCACGCCAGTGTAGTATCCACGATCGTCCGCGCGCCACGAAGTGAAGTGTCCTGACGTCATAGGGCGGGAAGCTGGGTGTGGGTGGTTCCCGAGAGTCGTGTGGATGTTTGGTAGAGCTTGCATTGCCCCCCCACGAAGTGGGGGTATTGGCTGGCGTCGCATGAAAACCCTGGCACTGGGGAGAACACTGAGCGGGGTAAAATGTTTGTTGTTGTTGTTGTTGTTGTTGAACATTATTCCTTCTAAAGAATTATTATTGTTGGGACCCCTGGTGCGCGACCTCTGCGCCGCGCCTAGGCCGCAGCTACATTTTCATCATTTTTTCGCGAAAGCTTCAGAAAAGTGGATGAGCTCCGGATCCGGTTTTTTGTTGACGCTCGTTTTCCCTTGCAAAAAACAATAGAAAATGAAAATTCTTGTTCTTACTTGATCAAATTGCAAGAATCCCTTGCAAAAAATAAGGTAAAGTGGACATTCGTGCGCGCAAGACGAAATCCTTCCAAAACCTTAGGTTTCGTAGCGATTTTAACATAAAAACATCAAAAACCCAATGGTTTTTTAAGAAAAAATTGTCAAAATGTCCTTCCGCGCGCGCTGTCCGAATCCCACAAAACCAATGGTTTTTCAACATTTATGTTACATGAGCTCGCGCGAGCTACTTTTTCTTGTTCTAACATAATCAAATTTCAATAATCCCTTGCAAAAAATAAGGTAAAGTGGACATTCGCGCGCGCAAGACGAAATCCTTCCAGAACCTTAGGTTTCGTAACGATTTCAACATAAAAACATCAAAAACCCAATGGTTTTTCAAAAAAAAATGTCCAAATTTCATCCCGCGCGCGCTGTCCGACTCCCACAAAACCAATGGTTTTTCAACATTTATGTTACATGAGCTCGCGCGAGCTACTTTTTCTTGTTCTAACATAATCAAATTTCAATACTCCCTTGCAAAAAAAAGTAAAGTGGACATTCGCGCGCGCAAGACCAACAAAAAACACGACGATCTCAGGAACTTGCCCCAAAAATGTGACCAACTCCGCTCTCTCTGTCTCTCTCTCTGTCTGCTCTCTGTCTCTCTCTCTGTCTGTCTGTGTCATGTATTGTATGTCACAATTGCAGGATGCTGGGCACACGCGCGCCCCGAATAAGTGACCAAGTTCTGTGGGTGTGTACCCCACGCCAGTGTAGTAGCCACGGTCGTCCGCACGCCACGAAGTGAAGTGTCCCAACGTCATAGGGCGGGAAGCTGGGTTTGGGTGGTCGCGAAGAGTCGTTTGGATATTTGGTAGAGCTTGAACTGCCCCCCCACGAAGTGGGGGTATTGTCTCGCGTCGCATGAAAACCCTGGCACTGGTGAGAACACTGAGCGTTCGGGTAAAATGATTGTTGTTGTTGTTGTTGTTGTTGTTGTTGTTGTTGTCGTTGTCGACGCCGCTTTCACGCGCTGCCCAGCGCTGCCCAACAACAACGCTCCCGCTCGAGACCTCCTCCCTTTTCTACTCAAGGCATCGCTTGTCCTCGCCGCCGAAAGCCGCCGTCCCAACAAAACCAGCGCTCCCGCCCGAGACTTCCTCCCGTTTTGCGCTGGACTGGCGCCCTACTCTCTTTTGAACTGGCGCCGCTCCCAGCAAGATCAACGCTCCCGCTCGAGGCTTCCTCTTTCTTCCTCAGGACGGTGCTGATCCTCGCCGCCGACAACCCCCGTCCCGACAAAACCACGGCTCCCGCTCGAGACTTCCTCCCTTCTTACTCAAGGCGGTGTTCCTCCTCGCCGCCGACAATCGCTGTCCCAACAAAACCAGCGCTCACGCTCGAGACTTCGTTCTGTTTTGCGCTGGACTAGCGCCCTACTCTCTTCCGCATTGGCGCCGCTCCCAACAACAACAGCGGCCCTGCTCGAGACTTCCCCTTTTCTATTCAGGACCAGGTCCTTGCCTCGCCGCCGACAGCCCCCATCCCCACCGAGGCAATCCTGTCGCTCGATACTTCCTTGTGCTTTATCCTTAGCTGGGGCTCCACTGGCGGTCTCGCATCGGCGCAGCAAGGCGCGGGCATGCGTGTTCGAGGCGGGATATGTTGAAATTCCTCAGAGGAGGTGTTTGCAATACCTCATTGGGCGGGAAATCTGGGAATGGGAATAACGGACCCCGCTATAGAACAACAAGCCCCCATAATGGGGATGGTTATCATGATGGTCGCATGCTTCGTGTGGAAACATCGCGCATGAGGGAAAACTGATTGTTGTTGTTGTTGTCGTCGTCGCCGCTCTCACGCGCTGCCCAGCGAGCAGACACCTCAGGTGGGGCGGGGACACCGTGGCTACCGACACCTCGGGAGAGTGCCGGACGTCCCGCCGAGGCAGCCCATCTCCTCTCGCCGCCCGCCTCCTGCTCGACATCCTCCTCCTCCTCCTCGTCCTGGTCCTTCTTCTGGTGGTCATCCCGTCCTCCTGCTTCTCCTGCGCCCACCCTGCCTCCGCCTGCCTCCGTTGCATGCGCCAACACCTGGTTCTAATCTGACAGGGACGACCCCACACTCGCAAGGTGGTCCGCGCGGATTTCTTGGATCGGCGCCGGACCCCCCCTCCTTGGCGCGAGGAGCGCGCCAAGGGCGGCGCCCGAGGCACCGTCACGGGGTCCAGCGCCGATCCAAGACATCCGCGCGGACCTCAGAAGCTGTGTTCATGTCGTTTGTCTCTGATTCGCTCATCACAATTACGTCTGTCCTGCGAAAACAAACGCTCAATGTAGGTCCGACCAGAGTGGCCCAATATGGCAGGGCGGTGGGGGGGAAACATCCCCGGGGATCGGCCAAGGGACGCACTCGGAGGAGAGGGGGCCATGACATCCGGGGGATACCATGGGCCCGGACATGAGATCCACCCTTTCATACTCATCCCCCTGCTCGCGCGCCAGCTTGCGCAAGGCTTCTGTACACGTCGTTCATTTCTAACCGTGCTCATTCTAAGCGTGCTCGTTTCTAATTGTTCCCGGCCCCCCAGTGGCCAGGAAGAGGCCCAGGATGGAACAATCAGAAATGAAAGGATCTTGGTCCCCCCAAAATCAAATAATTTTGGAAGAATCAGAAATGAACAATGCGTACTTTACCTACGTTACGCCGGCGGAGGAGGAGGAGGAGGAGGAGGAGGAGGAGGAGGAGGAGGAGGAGGAGGATCACCCCCCTCGTGGCCGCCCCCGACGCGGCCCCCACAGGCCAGATCGCCAGAGGCCTCGGCGAGCGAGGCCACCGCCTCGATCTTTCTCCTCCTGCCCTCCGAGAGAGCCCGCTGATCATCGCCCGGCGGCGACGATGAGGGGCGGACAGCCCAGGGGCGGGCATGACACGTATTCGCCCGGGAGCCTTTTCGAAGACATACGGTGGGGGCATTGGGTGAGGAAGCCTTCGATGAGGAATCCAGGGTCTGGAAGCCAGTGGAACTCCAATCGTGGATTGGCTATGGATATCACCGCCGCTCTCCTCAGATCAAGGAACCCTCCAGGGTCTGAAGCCTCCTGGGCACGTTCCTCAACGAACGCCCCCACCGTAGATCATCGGCGCACCTGCATACACGGATTGCTTTCCCCTGGGCCCTTCGCCCCCATCGTCGCCTCTGAAAGCGCCGGCCGAGCACCGAACTTTCTGGGCCCGAGCCGGCGCGCGCCGCGCGCCCAAGCCCCGCGGCATGCGCGGCGGCTGCCGCTCTGGCGCGGGCCTGCGCCGCGGCGCGCGGCGCGCACAGACACACTGCGCGCACGAGAGGCCGACGCCGCGGGCCCCGAAGGCCCTCCCGAAGAGGGCGTCGCGCGAGGCGAGGCATCCGCGACGTTTTGCCGCGTGGGCGCTCCGCGGCATACACTGGGCGTCGGCCGCAGCAGATCGGCCCACAGAGGAGTTCAAGGAGTTCGACGAGGAGGAGGAGGAGGAGGAGGAGGAGGAGGAGGAGCAGGAGGAGGAAAGGGAGTGACGCAGTTGGAGTCGCTCTCTCGGCTTGAGTCGTTGGGGGTGCTCGACTGGCGGGTCAGCGCTGCCCACAGAGGGGAAAAGCTGCGCTCTCCAGGAGCAGAGGAGCGACGACAAGAACGAGGTTTCACGCATGATGGCATAGCGATCTTACGCTGCGATCTTACGCGGGCCGCCAGCGCGGCACGTTACATTGGAGACGAGGGCGCTTACGCGCGACCTAGCGCGGGCAGCTTACGCGCGAACGTCACCACAATCAAACCCGTTCTGTTGCGTCACTTAGTTGGGGTCGTTCTCTCAGCTTGAGGCGTTGGGGGGGCTCGACTGGGGGGAACCAGCCTCGGGCTGCGATGGTGTTCGTTGGGGAAGGGGGGGATCTAACTAGCCGCGCTCGCCCTCTTCTGCTGTGGATAGGCTACGATCTTCAAAGTCTTTTCTGCCAGTGCAAGTGCCAGAGGAGGGGGAGGAGGAGGAAGACGTCCTCCCTCCTCCTGCTACTCTTTCCACCTCCTACACCCTCTTGCCTCCCTTCTCTTCGTACTCCTCCTGCCTCTTCCTCCTCTTCCCCCGACTTCCCTCCTTCACCAGCTTCATTCCCCTCCTGCCTCCTCCTACTCCTCGCCATGCCTTCCTCTTCCACCAAGACGAATGAGTAAGGAGGACGAGGAGGGGGATCGCTGACCAAGCTTCCGGGTCTGCGAACGGGAGGCCGTTGGATAGCCCTTCGGGGTAAGTGGGTCTGGCTATGTGGTGCTTCCTTTGCTCTGGGAGGACCCGAACTCGTAGTCTATATTGGGAGAGGAGGAGAACAAGGAGCAGGGGGGAGTAGGGGAAGATCCGACACGCGATCGATCGGCGATTGGTTCAAATCCGATTGCAGCTGTGGGGTAGCCCCCAGTCAGCCCCTCCCCCTGACCCCGGCGACCCCCCTGCCCTTGGCAACAGAAGATAGCAGTGGCGGCCCCGCGCCAAACATCGACGCTGAGCGCGAGGCTGTCGGCGACTTGGCAGCCGCGATGGCCTCCTGGACGCTGGCCAAGGCCCTGTCGCCAAGGACTTGCTGCCTCTTGTCGAGCCAGTGCGCCAGGGCACAGCGCGGGGCACCTGGTGCGGCGGGCAGTGGACCTCTCGTCGTCTGCGTCGGTCGCGGAGCAAGCTCTGGGGCGGCGGTAGGGGCTCCGTTCAGGCCCCGCTCCAACACGGTACAGTGCACAGATGTTCGGACCTGGCGGCCGAAGCACTCTGCCAAGAACAGACGTTTCGTGGGGTGGGGGTGCCGGGGCGACGTGGGGGGCGTTGGTGGGCTTCGGTCAAGAAAGTGTCGGGTCGGGGATCATCACTACTCATTCTTTAGAAATCAAAATTCAACAGCCACAACGACACCACCAACAACACCACCAACAGAAATACTACTCATTTTAAGACTGTTCGCTCTTATCTGCTCACGTGCCAATCAATACGTATATCCCAAACCCTCGGTACCCGCCCTCGTCGTCTTCGATCGTACCCCCGAGGGGGTATATCTTCCTTTCTTGCCACGCGCATGTAGTGCAGCCCCTGAAACAAGGGAAGCGAGGACGAATGGAACGGGGAAGGAGAATAATGGAGCACGACAGAAATTAGCAGAAGGGGGCAAGGAGCAGAAAACAAGTGGTATAATCGGACGGGCAGATCGGGTGGACATGCCCATAGCGGGCAGGTCGGGAAGGCGCGCCCAGGCGACCAGGTCGACTAGGCGGGTTGCCGAATCGTGTGTCCTGCATGAATCGCGAGGAAGTCTCAATATATAGAACGTTTCCAAAGTAAATCGTGAGAGAAGCCAGAACGAGAGCGTGATTCCTGAGCGCCGAGGGCACATCGTTTGAATACGTTGCGAGGAAGTCCCACGCGAGAGCGCGATGTGTACATGAATTGTAAGGACATCCCGCGGAAGAGGGCGATTTGGGAATAAGCTGTGAGGACGTATCCGGCGGGAGCCGTTGTTGTCGTTCTTGTTGTAAACGAGGGGCCACGGGGAGTCCCGTGACTTTCCCTGATTAAAGACAGGGTGCGAGCCCTGGGGGAACCACTTCAATTGAAAATCACAATGGTCACTGGAGGGGGGCATCAACAACTATGAATCTTTAGTAATTAGAGTTCAACAACAACACTACCAACAACAATCACTTTAAGACTGTTCGCTCTTACCTGGTCGAATGTCCGTCAACGTGTCTTTCCCCAGCCCTCGTTATCCGCCCTCTTCGTCTTCGATCGTACCCCTTTGGGGCGGCCGCGGACGGTCGGCCTGGCCAGCGGCAGCGCTGATCGGCGGCAGCCAAACCCCAGGAGGGACGGACAGGGGACCGACGACGACGACGACGACGATGAGGGAAAGCGAGAGCGAAAACGAGAGGGACAGCGGGGCCACGAAGGGCATGCGTATGGGGCCACGTAGGGCGCGGGCCACGAAGGGCAGATAATGCGGGGCCACAGATGGCAACGACGGGGCCATTGAGAGTAGCAACGGTGCCGCGTAGGGCAGCGAGGGGGCCACAAAGGGCGACAGCGGGGCCACGAAGGGCATGCATATGGGGCCACAACGGGCGCGAACGACTGGAGGCCACGAAGGGCATACGTATATTGGGTCGCAGAGGGCAAAGACGGGGCCATTGAGGACAGCAACAGGGCCACGAAGGGCAGCGAGGGGGACACGAAAGGCAACAGCGGGGCCACGAAACGCATGCATATGGGGCCACAACGGGCGCGAACAAGCGGGGGCCACGAAGGGTACACATATTTGGGGCCACGAAGGGCAGCGAGGGGGCCACGAAGGGGTGCCACGAGGCCACTAAGGGCAGCGAGGGGGCCACGAAGGGGTGCAACGGGACAACGAAGGGCAGCGAGGGGGTCACGAAGGGCTGCAACGGGGCCACGAAGGGCAGCGAGGGGGCCGCGAAGGGCAGCGATGCGGCCACGAAGGGGGGGGGTCACGAAGGGCAGCGAGGGGGCCACGAAGGGCTGCAACGGGGCCACGAAAGGTAGCGATGGGGGCAACGAAGGGCTGCAACGGGGCCACGAAGGGCAGCGAGGGGGCCACGAAGAGCAGCGAGATCCCGATTCCTAAGTAAACTATGGAGTCCTAAGCGTGAGCGCGACTCCTGGGTGCCTGAATTTCGGGAGCGCGGCGCTTGAGTAAATTGCGGGAAAACTCAACGCAAGAGCGCGATTCTTTAGTAACTTGCACGCAAGTCTCTAGCGAGAGCGCGACCCCAGAGCGCCGAGGGAGCGATCCCTTAGTGAAGTGTACGGAAGTCCTAAGCGAGAGCGCGATTCCTGAGCCAAATGCGAAGAAGTCTCAGGCGGGAACGGGGGTCCTGGCTAAGTTGTGAGGAACCCTCACGCGGGAACCGTTATTGTTGTAATCCGGGGGCCGACAACCCAGCTTGAACCCCGTGACTTGCCCTGATAAAAACAGGGTGCGAACCCCAGAGGAAGCACTTCAATTGAAAAACGCAATGGTCACCGGAGGGGGACGATCAACAATACTTATTCCTCAGTAGTGAGAGTTCAAAAACGACAACAACAGCACCAACAACAGCAGCAACAGCAACAGCAACAACAACAGCAACAACAGCAGCAACAGCAACAGCAACAGCAACAACAACCTGACCGCAGAACCTCACTTCAGCCAGCAACGCGCCCAGGGACAGCGACCAACCAATCGGCCCCCTCACTCTGATCACATATGCCTTCTGGGAAATGCTCCTGCGTTTCGCTACAAGGGTTCTAACATGATCGGTAAACAAACAGCAACCGCACAATCCCACAGGCGAGACGGGGAGCCCGAGGACGCCCATTGCGGCAGCCAGCCCGGCAGCCGTTCCGCCCGAGACTTCCCCGCGTTGTGTTCAGGAATCGTGCTCTCGCATCACTGCCGGCCGGCTTCACGTATGGTCTAGACGCCCGCGATGCCTTGCAACAGAAAACGCTACTCCGAGTTTCTCAATAAGCGCCAGGGGGGCGTCACCCCCGCCGACAGACCCACATCGACCCCTGTCGCGGGCAGCCACCGCGCGCCGAAGGCGCTCCGACCCCCGTCGCAGCGCGACGACGAGGCGAGGTTGACCCCCGTCGGGGGGTACACCCCACGCTTAGTAAGAAACCTAGAATACGGTGCACCTGACCGTGCACTCACCCCTGTCCCGGGTGCATCTTCCCCGGAGGTCCCGAGGAATACATCGGAATCCACGTTTTCACTCGGCGACCTCCGATTCCTCGACCCGCCTCTTCAATTCTGCTGCCACTCACCTCAAGTATGCCCTGGGCGTGTTTTCTAGCGTGTTCATCTCGGCGTCTTGGAACTCGTGTTTGCGCGTGTTCAGGTCTTGTGCCGTTTTTGTGTCGCTTCGCCTTCTCGGGCTTTTGGGCGTCTCAAGCTCTGAGGTGGTTCCAGGCATGCTCCGACTGATCACGTGAGGTCCCCAAAGAAGTCCAACAGACCACAAGAAAAACCCGATGATGGCTCCAATGAGGGCCTCTAGAGCTCAAGAGTGCCCCCAGACCTCTTTGGGGCTGTGCGTGCTTGTCGCTGAGCCCTGGGTCTGTCCTGGGGCTGTGCTAAAGCCGTCCTGCCCTCCCCTGAGAATTTTCTGGCCGATTTAGGAGGCGTGGCGGAACTGAGACACATGCTACGAGGAGTCACATATCTTGGTGCTTTTGATCGCCTTTTCGTGGGCTCTTGGGGCGCGTATCTGCGCCCAGAATCTCTTGGCGGCCTTATTGCGGCGTCTTGGGGGCTTTCTCTTGGGAGCGCCCAAATGGTGCCTTGGAGCTGCCTGGGGGTGTGCTTGATGTCGCTGGGGGGCTTCTGTGGCCGTCTTGATTGTTTGGCGGTCGTCTGGGTGGGTCTTGCCGTCTTGGGCCCGTCGTGCGCGACTCAAGCCTCCGATCCCGACGAGACTGAAAAATACGCCGCTGGCGCCGATGGTCTTGTTCAGGCAGGTGCGCTCCAAGACATCCAGCGGCGTGCTGGCTTTTCCCCAAGAAGGTGTCGCTGGAGGATGCCCATACATGGTAGGAAGCACAACTAGAGAATCGTACAAAGGTCGGGGAGACGTAAGACTCGGGTACGGGGGACTCGGGTTGGCCTGACGAGGCCATCATAAAAATGACGAACTCCTGCTGCAGACATCCCACGAAAACTGGACCGTCAAAATCCAGGACGCGCTCGTCAAAAGCAGTCGGCAAACCCGAGTTCCGGCTTACTCGAGTCTTGCGTTTCCCCGAAATGGAGTCGGGGAGCCCTGTCAGGTCAGGCAGCCGTTCCGCCTGAGACTTCCTCACGTTCGTTCCTCCGGCATTGAGGCGAGAGGACGATTATCGTGCTTTCGTCTCAATGCTGGCTAGATGTTTGGTCCTGACGGCTACGGTCCCTTGCGCCAACAAACACTGAAGGGCACATGGCCATGCTCTCTTTTCCTCTCCCGGCTGCGCTGACCTCCTTCACCTCGGCCCGCCTCATGATTTTCCGAAGTGAACAAATGCTTTTCTTCAATCGGAGCGTGACCGGCGTTTCAGAACCTTGTTTCTGCTGCAGCGTTCCCGTTTCGAGAGCTCCTGGAGGCTGCGAGGGAAGAGAGGCCCAGAAGCTCGACAACCAGGAGCAAGGGAGAACGCGAAGTCCTTCAACCACATTTGCGACATCAGTGTTTTTGGCCACTGGAGGCTCATGTTTCGATTACCTGGTGGCCCTGCTAGAACCTCCTGGAGGCCTCTCGGGGGCCTGCCTCGAGAACGTTGAAAGCGTTGAGGGCCAGAAGGGCCATATTCGGTGGACTTTCCCATCTTTTGAGCCCTTCTCCCATCGCGGTATTCGTTTTCTCTTGGGTCGACACAAGGACTCTGCGCCACAGCGAAGTCTGGCGACATCCTCTCTACTGGGCATCTGACTCTGCTACGTCTGATGTTTGTACACAGCTTGCGGGGTGCCCCGCAAGGGCAGGCATTTGAGCGCCGCGCCCTCGCGGCCATGCCATCAAAGCAATCGGTTGCGCATCACCACCATCTTGATCGGTCCCTTCGCTTGCGCCAGCTCCTTCAGCAAATCCAGGCACTCGCCTCGTACCCCGTTGACCTCAACAATCGAGTCACCAATCTTGATCTGCTGCAGCGGATTTTGTTCGTTCCATCGGCCTACTTGGCCTCCCTCCTCAATACTTCTAATAGAGAAAGAGTCCCAATCCCTTGACGGAGCGAGACCGAGGCCGACCCTGCCAGCGCCCTTGGTGACTTCGCAATGAATACCGGGAACCTCCTGGTCCGATGGAGTGATGCAGAGGCTCAGCGTCGACCCCTTCAAGGTCCAGCCTGGCATATTCAAGGGAATATCTCCAATGAACCCCTTGGGGTAAATCTTGCTATGCTCCAGCGTGGCTTGCCCCAGGGTGACCTCTCTGCTCTTTACACTGAACTTCAAGACATCGCTACTCCCGAACACTCCAACTTCGACTGTATGATTCCATAATGGATCGACCGAGGCATGTTCGGGCGGAGTCTGACACACACATTCGGATTTGCCAGGTATCTCGCATACGCAGTAAGGCTCGTAGTCAATTCCGTCGGTCCCTTGCAAGTTTGATGCGCCGACAATGCACACCTGCAGAGAGTTGGTATTAGAACGGAAAACATATGGCTGTGTGCTGCGCTGCACCCTTTTCTTGGCTTTGACATAAGGCCGGCCGTCGCCACACACGCGAACGGCTCCACGGTAATGCTCAAGACGCGGAGCATCACCGAGTGCAAGAGCGCTTTCTACGTCATCACCACTCCGACAAGCTTCCCAGCCAAGGGTTGGTGGAGTTGTAGAATCATCCGCCATGGTGCCCTGAGGCACGAGCTGGAGTGTCCTCAGGTCCTCTGCCTCATCCTTCAGCCCCCATCTTAAATCCTGAGGAGAACTCTTTGAGAGGTCCAGATCCCGAATTGCCACAACGCCTTGGGCCCCCCGTGTCCCCCCCGCGGCTCCTGGCGTTTTCCCGCACAACTTCTTCGAAGCCAAGAGGGCCACAAGACACGGGCCAAGCGGGTCCCAAGAGGCCCGCAAGACGGTCCAAGAGGGCCCTGACTCGCCGAACGATCGGTCCAAGACTCCCGCGCTGGCATGAAAACGGCTGAAGAGGCGCCCAAGCCGCCCCAGGAGAGGCCCAAGAGGCCTCCCAAGAGGGCCCAAAGAAGGCATGTGCAACTGTTCGGCCTCACGGCCTTCAAGGCGGCCCAGCAGGCTCCCAAGATCGCCCCAAGACGGTCCCCAGACGGCCCCCAAAAGGCCCCAAGACGGCTCCAAAAGGGGCCCTGGAGGGGGAGCCCGAACCGACAATTCGAGCTTTCCGCCCCAAGATACTCCCAGGAGGCCCCAAGAGGCTTCCCAAGAGCCCCCAAGATGCCCTCAAGAGGCCCCCTAGACGCCCAAAGCAGCCCCAAAACGCCCCCCCCCCCGAGATATCAGCACTGCCTCCAAGAGGCATCCAGGAGGCATTCCACGATTCTCAACGAACATCCAGGAGGCATATGACCCGAAGCCCAGGCACGGTGGCGGATGGGCCGAATGCCATTCTATCCGCCGCCCCCCGTTGATTCATTACAGGGGGGCCTGGCGTGCTGAATCCTTTCGCTTTTGGTGTTGGTTCTTTTTCCCCAAAGAACTCTCCCTGGGGCTTCGGCCCGTCCCGCCAGCCACCCGAAAGGGACCTCAACGACCGCAACAAAATCCTCCAAGACGGCTCCAGATGGCCTCCAAGATGGCCACGTTGGCCCAAGATGGCCTCCAAGATGGCCTCCAAGTCCGCCAAAGATGGTCCAAGATGGCCTCCAAGACGGCCCAAGAGAGTCCACGATGCCATCGAGTTTGTCTAAGAAGCCTCCAAGACGGCCCAGGATGGCCTCCAAGACTGTCCCAATACGCCTCCAAGACGGTCAGTATGGCCCAAGATGGCCCGCAAGAGGCCTCCAAGACGGCCCAAGCGCCCTCCAAGACGTCCTCCAGGAAGGCCCGAAAAGGTCAAAATGGCCTCCAGACGGCCAAGATGACCTTGAAGATGCCTCCAATTCCGGACGAAAAGCTATGATCTTCGTAAAATGGTTCGAAAGACAAGTAAGGACCTCAAAGTCCACGAAAGATCCCTCCAAGACGGCCCAGGATAGCCTCCAAGACTGTCCCAATACGCCTCCAAGACGGTCAGTATGGCCCAAGATGGCCTCCAAGATGCGTCCAAGAGAGCCCAAGATCACTCCAATTTGGCCGTTCCCCGAAAGCTTTCCAAACCGATTTGGGGAACACTCGTTCCGAAATATTGGCAAGGATCTGACCCAACCTTCGGCCAGCAGGCCTCAAGACGCCTCCAAAAGCTCACAAGAGCCCCCAAGGGGCCCCGAACACGCTCATTCCTCACTCTCCTCCTCTTCCCCGTCCTCCCCCACGTTTTCCCCGACGGCTTTCCAAACCGATTCGGGGAACACATGGTCCGATAGCTTGGCAGGGCTCTGGCCTCAACGTTCGGCCACACAGGCGCTTCCGAAAGGGCAGGGGGCGGCGGTGACTCGCCGTAGGCGTCTTCGATCCGCCGCCCCCTGTTGGCTTGCCACAAAGGTGCACGAAGTGCTGATTTTTTCTTGGTTTTGGGATCTTTGAGAACTGGCCACCCGGAAAATGCCGGCCACCCGGAAAATGCTCCGGTCATCCGTTCACGGTTCTTGGATGGCCTCCAAGTCGGCCAAACCAGCCTCCCTCCAATGTGGTCCCAAGACCCCTCCAAGACGGCCTCCATATGGCCCAGGACGGCCCAAGAACCCCCCAGAGGCCTCCAGGACGGCCCAAGAGGTCTCCAAGATGACACACAAGAAAGCCCAAGGAACAAAAGTCATTGCTTTTTCTGTTGGTGTTTGAAGGTTTCTGGCATTTGCTGATGTCGGCCTTCCGACCGCCCAAGACTGCTCCCAAGATCGCCAAAGCGGCTTCCAAGATGGCCCCGTGACGGCCCAAGAGAGCACCAAGACGGCCACAAAAGAACCCAAAGACGGACCAAGAGGCCTCCAAGACGTCCAAGATAGCCTCCAAGACTGCCAAAATGGCGCAATAGAGCCCAAGAAGGCCTCCAAGATGGCACACAAGAAGGCTCGCAGGAACACACATCATTCCCCAATCAGTGCTTGCACTGAAGGGGTCCTGGCGGAAATTGAAAGATTTGGCGAACATTTCCCGCCGACTTTGGGCGCACGCTGGGTTCCCCGGTTCCCGGTTCCCGGTTCTGGGCCGATTTCGGAAGGCGGCGAGGTTCCCGGGTTCCCGGGTTCTTGGTCGATCTTCTTATCGATCGGCCCCACCATCGATCTCATTACCCGCTTCTCTATCGATCTCACCATCGATCTCACCATCGTCACTATTGATCCCACAATCGATCTTACTAGAGATCGCATGCGCTATCTCGCGATCGATATCACTGAATCGATCTCACTCTCGGTCTCACGATCGACCTTACAATCGTCCGCACTATCGATTACACTACCGATCTCATTATCGACCTCACAATCTCAAGATCCATCGTATTAATTTCCAATGCATCCACTGATTGGGGTCTTCTCGGGTGTATTTATTTTCTTGCTTCCCCCGTTGGTGTTGGACGTTTTGCTGGCACCTGCTCCTTGTCGGTTTTCCGACGGCCTAGGGTGGCTCTCAAGATCGCCAAAGTGGTTTCCAAGATGGCACAACGACGTCCAAGAGAGCACCAAGACGGCCGCAAAAGAACCCAAAGACGGACCAAGAGGCCTCCAAGACGTCCAAGATAGCCTCCAAGACTGCCGAACTGGCGCAATAGAGCCCAAGAAGGCCTCCAAGATGGCACACAAGAAGGCTCGCAGGAACACACATCATTCCCCAATCAGTGCTTGCACTGAAGGGGTCCTCACGGAAATTGGCAAATCTGGCGAACATTTCCCGCCGATTTTGGGCGCACGCTGGGTTCCCGGGTTCCGGGTTCCCGGTTCTGGGCCGATTTCGGAGGGCGGCGAGGTTTCCTGGTTCCCGGGTCCTTGGTCGATCTTCTTATCGATCGGTCTCACCATCGATCTCATTACCCGCTTCTCTATCGATCTCACCATCGATCTCACCATCGTCTCGATTTATCTCACAATCGATCTCACTAGAGATCGCATGAGCGATCTCGCGATCGATATCACTGAATCGATCTCACTCTCGGTCTCACGATCGACCGTACAATCGCCCGCACTATCGATTACACTACCGATCTCCTCATTATCGACCTCACAATCGATCTCAAGATCCATCGCATTAATTTCCAATGCATCCACTGATCGGGGTCTTCTCGGGTGTATTTTTTTGTTGCTTCCCCCGTTGGTGTTGGACGTTTTGCTGGCACCTGCTCCTTGTCGGTTTTCCGACGGCCCAAGGCGGCTCCCAAGATCGTCAAAGCGGCTTCCAAGATGGCACAACGACGGTCCAAGAGAGCACCAAGACAGCCACAAAAGAACCCAAAGACGGACCAAGAGGCCTCCAAGACGTCCAAGATAGCCTCAAAGACTGCCAAAATGGCGCAATAGAGCCCAAGAAGGCCTCCAAGATGGCACACAAGAAGGCTCGCAGGAACACACATCATTCCCCAATCAGTGCTTGCACTGAAGGGATCCTCACGGAAATTGGCAGATCTGGCGAACATTTCCCGCCGATTTTGGGCGCACGCTGGGTTCCCGGGTTCCGGTTTCCCGGTTGTGCGCCGATTTCGGAGGGCGGCGAGGTTTCCTGGTTCCCGGGTCCTTGGTCGATCTTCTTATCGATCGGTCTCACCATCGATCTCATTACCCGCTTCTCTATCGATCTCACCATCGATCTCACCATCGATCTCGCGATTGATCTCACAATCGATCTCACTAGAGATCGCATGAGCGATCTCGCGATCGATCTCACTGAATCGATCTCACTCTCTGTCTCGCGATCGACCTTACAATCGTCCGCCCTATCGATTACACTATCGATCTCATTATCGATCACACAATCGATCTCAAGATCCATCGTATTAAATTCCAAATCATCCACTGATTGGGGTCTTCTCGGTTGTATATTAGTTGTTGCTTCCCCCGTTGGTGTTGGACGTTTTGCTGGCACCTGCTCCTTGTTGGTCTTCCGACGGCCCAAGACTGCTCCCATGATCGCCAAAGAGGCTTCCAAGATTGCACGATGACGGCCCAAGAGACCCTGAGTGCGGCCCAAGAGCTTGGCATTTGCTTCTCTTCGCCCTCTCGACGGCCCAACACTGCCCACGAGGCCTCCAGATCGTCCAGGAGGCTTCCAATGACGGCCCGAGGACGGCCCAAGAGGCCCTCAAAGCGGCCCAAGAGTCCCCCAACACGGCCCCAAGCGAGCACCAAGACGACCTCAGAGACTTCCAAGACGGCCCTGACGTGCCCCGAGAAGACCCAAGTCGGCCCAGAGATGTCCTCAAGACTGCGTCAGACGGCGCCAGACGAGCTAGGAACGCTCTCAGACGGCCAACGAAGCCCCCAATGGCCCCCAAGAGGCCCAAGAGCCCAAGCAGGCCACCAAGAGGCCTCGTAGAGGCTCCCAGGAGGTCTCCAGGAGGCTTCAAGAGTGCCGCAAGAGGCTCCTAAGAGGTCTCCTCCTCCACTTCCTCCTACCTCCTCTTCTTCTTCCTCCTACTCCTCATCCTCATCCCCACCGTCATTATCATCCTCATCGTCATCCGCATCCTCATCCTCATTTCATCCTCACCATCATCATCAACATCCTCCTCATCAACATCAGCATCAGTATCATAATCGTCATCATCACCAGTACCAGCACCAGCACCAGCACCAGCACCAGCACCAGCATCATCATCATCATCATCATCATCATCATCATCATCATCATCATCATCATCATCATCATCATCATCGCCATCATCATCATCATCATCATCATCATCATCAACAACAACATCACCATCATCATCATCATCAGCATCATCCTGCTCACCATCACCATCAGCATAATCAATATCACCATCATCGGCGTCATCACCATCACACTCGTCATTACCATCACAATCACCATCATGATCACCATCACCACCATCATCATCACCATCATCATCATCATCATCATCATACTCATCATCATCACCATCGCCATCACCATCATCATCATCATCACCATCATCATCATTAGTTTCATCATCATCATCGTCATCATCATCATTATCAACATCAACATCAACAGTACCAGCATCAACATCATCAGCATCATCATCATCGTCATCATCAACATCGTCACCATCATCAGCATCAGCATCATCAACATCGTCATCAACATCACCATCATCATCACCATCATCATCATCAGCAACATCATCATTATCATCATCATCATCATCATCATCATCATCATCACCATTACCATTTTCGTCGTCATCATCACCATCACCAGCATCCGCCGCCTCCTCCTTTTCTTCAACATCATCACCAGTACCAGCTACCACCATCATCAGCAGCATCAGCATCAGCATCAGCATCCTCATCCTCATTCTTACTTTGATCCTCCTTCTCCAACTTCTTTTCCTCCTTCTCGTCATTCTCTTCCTCCCACGCGTGCTCCCCGACGGGTTTCCATGTTGGCTTGGGGAGCACACTGCCCGATAGCTTGGTCGAGCTCTGCCTACAACGTTCGGCCCCATAGGCGCTTCCAAAAAGGAAGGGGGCGACGGTGACTCGCCGTAAGCGTCTTCGCTGCAAGAAACCATTCCGCTTGTATAGATGACGGCCGTCCCGCTCCGTGGGAGATAAGGTCACTACCCAACAACCTTGGATATCATGCGCTTGTCTGCGAATGTAAATCATGCCCAACTCGATCGAGTTCTTGACGAACACCTCTGCACGGGCAAACGGCGTTGCCAACTCGTAAGTGCCGTTCACATCTAGCAGGCCCGCTCCCGAGAGAAACACGAACTTCGAGTACTCGCCTGCCTTTCGGCGGCGCGCCGAGGGGGGCACGTGGGAGGGAGGAGAGCCTCTAAAAGCCTGCTCTGTATTTTTCGGGATAGCGGGCGTGATCGGGGGAAGGGGGGTTCGCCCTCCCTCCCCCCCCGATCACATCACGGTAGGGGGCCGGCGGAAATCTTAGGACATCCTCGAGGAATCCGTAGGACATCTTTGCAAATGTGAGCCCACTAGCGCGACGTGACCGGGGGAGGGAGGGGGGGGAAGGAAAAGGCCGATCACGGCCGTTCTCGCCCAGAACTTCACACAAACAAAAACAGGCTCTGACCCCGTGGCCCCCTCGGCGCGCCGCCGAGCCTGGGCCCTCACACGCACAGGACCGGGCAGCCCGTCGGCAGGATGCCCGAGGGCGGCCTCGCCCGCCTCGGGCGGCTGCCCTGCCCGGAGAGCGGCTGCCCTCTGCCCCATGGGGCCTCGCACCGACCTGCTCCGCCCCCGAGCAGGCGGGAGCCTGGATCTGCGGCGCGCGCGAGGGGGCAGGGGAGGGGGGAAGGCTTGCTAGAAGGAGGCTGCTTCTCAGAGGGCGCCGACCCTGAATCTGTAGGCGAGGCCCGCGCCGTCTGGGGTGCTTCTGAAAAGCCTTTCCCCTCCCCCTGCCCCCTGCGAGTGGCTGACTTGAGCCCGCAAGGCTAAGTACGGAAAGACGCAATGGTAGGCCGTCTCGGTCGGGGTCCTGCCGGAGCCCCGTTGGGCCGTCGTGAGACTTGCCTGGAAGCCTCTGGAGCCATCTTGGGCAATCGGAAGACTGGAACATCGAGAACGCGGGAATCACTTCAACGCCTAGAAAATTGATGGTCGTTGCCTCTTGGTGCCCTGCTAGGCCTGCTGGGGGTCCTCTTGGTGCTGTCCTTTTTGGCCATCTTGGGCCACATTGAAGCTTCTCTTGGCCCCATTGAACAAATACTCAATACTTCTTGGGCCTTTTTGGGGGCCTCTTGGGCCCTCTCGCCACCAGAGGGGCCAGACCAGCTGGGAGTCCAAGACCTCCCTGGCCCGAGGCGCCCCCGGGTCCCAGACCCCTTGGGTCTGGGACCCCCTCGGTCCCCTCACCCTCTCAGTCCTCCGAGCACCCCTCCCTTGTCCTAGACCCCCCACCCTGGAACACCAGATCCGCCCAGCCCCAGGACCTCCCGGGCAGAACCCCCGGGTCACCAAACCCCCTCTTGGATGCCCCCAGCTTTCGGCGCGCCAGCTGGCCCCTTCCAGGTCAGGCCCAGGGCACCACTCCGTCGTGGCACACCGCCGCTCATCGTCAAGGCCCTCGGTCGGCCCCATCCTCACCCATCCTTCTCCTCGACCCCGCGAGGGGGAGGAGTTGTAGGAGGTACCTCCTGGGAATTTGTCGACAGAAAGTGAAAAGCTATGTAACCCTGATTGAGAAGGCCGGGGCCGGATTAAGCCAAGCTAGATTAAGCCAGGCGGCGCCGAACGGGGTTCGGCCAGCTCTCGACCGCGGATGTACTAGCCTTAAGTCGGGTCCGTCCCCTTACAGGCGGATTTTACGCGAACAATGAAACGTGCCTAGGCCTAGAACGTACACCAAACAAATTCAAAAATTGTCAAACAATCGTCCCTCGATTCTTTGGTTGACAATTTTTGAATTTTCCTCCTGTAAAGGGGCATGCCCGACTTAATACTAACGCCTATGCTGAACTGAACACGCGAGGAGCTGCGGCCGAGGAGGAGGCACGCGGGCACGAGGCGGGGGGGGAGGCATGCGGGAGGATGAGGAGACAAGGAGGCACGGGGCAGGAGGGAAGCAAGAATAACAATACTAACAATGATAATGAGCATAACTACGTATTAAAACAAATAATAACAACACACATACTAATACACACTTGCGATCCACTGTCTGCCTGCCCTGCTACCATGCCAATGCTGGAAAAAAGGGGCGCCTGGTACTCGCCGCCGTGCTAGTAGGATGACGAGGAGGAGGATGCTCCGAGAAAACCAAACGTGCACAAACGATATTGCAATAACCCTCCCCTCCCAAACTCTAGTTTGTTGTTGTTGGTTTGTTTTGTTGTTGTTGTTGTTGTTGTTGTTGTTGTTGTTTTTTTGTTGCATACGCCTTCCTCACAAAACTATGCCCCCCTCGAAATACCAACACATCTGGGCCTGCCATCTTGGCGGGGGGTCCCTTTGGAACATGACTGCTTTGCATCCGGATGGCATGCGGCCAGGAGCCGAAACACATAATCATACAATTTTAAGGTGTCCAACGATTTCCCCCTTCCGAAAAAGAACTGCCCCCCATCATTGACACTGTTACACCCAATTACATGTGTGGTCATAAGACCTCCGATGGAAATTCAAACGGCATCTACATTGAACAGGGGCCTCCATGAATCCGTGCGGCCCTACATGTGCTGAAGCTCTGGGTCTTTAAGCTTACACCCTGCGTACTGACAAACGCAACGTTTTGTAGAACGAATGCGGGCTGCGCTAAGGTGAGGGCTCCATTTTGACAACGCCCCTTTCTGAAACCCTAGAATTTTTGCAAATACTTAAGACGAGGGCAGGCGGCACTGCAGCGAGAGCCACATAACGACATATGTTCGCCCTCCAACAATGAAATGGTTGCACACTTGCACGAAAAACGTATGCAACTCTGAAGCGGGAACCACATGTTGAACATGCCCCCTCCGTCCGTGAACTTGCCGCGAACTCTTTAGAAGTATGTGTGCGAAACGATAACGAAAACCACATTGAGAACAACAAACGCCCCCGTCCGTAATTTTGCCGTCGCCGTTCAAACCAAACGAATGTGCGCGTGCGCGGCGTTGAAACGACCGCCGCATTTTGAGAAAGCGCGATCCTCCATCCGTGAAGCTGTTTTGGATATTTGTTAAAACGACATGCAAGAGGAACTGCCTCGAACATCCAATTCGAAAAAAAACACCTGCCCTCCATCCGTGCAGTAGTTGAAAGCGAATGCTCGCGTCGCTGGCGCGAAAACCATATTTTGAAATCGCCTCGCTTCCATCCGCAAGGCGGCTGCGCACTCTTGAAACACACGCGCGCGGCACTGTGGCGAAAACCATATTTGGAAAACGCCCTCCTCCATCCGCGACCCTGCCGCAAACTCGTCAGGCGAACGTGCGCGGCGAAGAAATTAAAAGACTCGTTTAGAAGAGGAACCGTCCTCCATCCGTGAACTTGCTGCACATATTCAACACGAATGCGAAACGATAGCCGCATATTGAAGAAACGAACCACCCTCGATCCGTCACCACGCTGTGGCTTTTCAATGCGAATCTAAGCGGGCGAACGCCGCATTTTGAAAACGAACCACCCTCAATCCGCCAATCGGTTGTAGACCTAAACTACTTGTCTACGCGGCGCTAGAGCGAAACATCAAATTCGACAACCACCCGGCAATCAGTCGTGAAACTGTTGCAAGCTGTTCTGACAAGTGCGCGCGGCGCTAGGGGGAGTACTTCATGTTGACAGCGATCCGCGTTCCATCCGCGAAGGTGTTCCAAAGTTCAACCTGCGTGGGCATAGGTGGCGAAGGGGCCTGAGACGAAACGCTCGGCGCGCCCTGATAACGCGCCTGGGGGCGTGACGGGGGAAGTCGTCGTCGTCGCCGCCCTCGTCGTCGTCGTCGTCGTCGTAGGGAAAAGGGATGGAGGAGGCTGGTGAACTGGAAAAGGGCGCCCCCCGCGCTTGGGCGTGCCAGTTGGCTCTCGTCGGGCCTGCCGAAGATGAGGAATGCCCAGTCCCCTGGCGTGCGTCTATTCTCGCAACGCTCCAACCCCCCTGTGGGGGAGGAGGCGAGAGCACCAGTCATTCCGCCATCCCGTAAGGATGAACAAGAAGCTGTGCCCAGTCCCCAAGTTTAGGGGCTGAGCCCCTTTGAATCCGACTGAGATATGCTCGTTGGGTCTTGGAGATTGATGAAGTGCTCGCTTTGCCTCAGCCCCTGAGCTGGGCCTGACCGATAAACAAGAGCATGTGCCACAGTGCCAGATCTTCAAACGATGGTGATCGTATTGTGAGGGGTCGACGCAGCCTCCTTCTAAATGCAGCCTACGTCCTCGGGGCACACGGGATAACCCACCACCCGCGCGAAGGAGTTGGAAGCACCCACTTTTGAGCCAGTCGGTCAAACACGTCTTGATAGCAGAGCCATTGCACACGATGCGCGACCCCCCACTTTCGGTCAGGACGTGCGCGAACGCGAAGCGTACGACAGCAATCGGAGGAGGCGGAGGAATGCGAGAGGCCCTCTTCGGATCCTCGTCAGGATCCCCCTCTGAGCTGCACCTTGAGGCCAACCAGGAGCAACCTGTTCCTAACAATCCTCGCCTTCTGCTCAACTCGGGCAGCTCTGATGCGATCTATATAGGGCAGACGAACACGAATGGCAGCCTCCATCGCGAACGAATCTGCCACATGATTTCCTTGAGTCAGCAGATTGGGCCACCGACGCTCGGCGATCTCCTGTTTCCAGGTGAGAAGGAACTTGCACCGCTGAAGTGAGACACGGGCTCCTGTCTTGCCGACTTGGAGAAGGACGAATTGGTCTCCACAGGTCGGCCCGGGGCCCTGACGGTGAAAGACGCTGGCCCCCGTGCCAGCCTCGAGCTACCTCAGCGCAGCCAGTTACATGCGCTAAAGTGAAGGGGCCCTGGGACACACACGCACACAAATAAATGCACATTAGTACAAATCCCAATATGTTCCCGTATTTTCTGGGTTCCTGTCTTCCCCCACACTTCCCATATTTCCCATCTTTTCTGGCAGCCGACGATTATTTGTGCCTGTGTGTTTTCTCCCCTCCTGCGAAATCTCCGACCGAAAACCTGACAGCCCACCCGAAAGTCTGGAGTTCCCCGCGCGGCAGTGTTCGGCTAACACTCGCGAGCGTGCCCAAAAGGCGCGGGCCCAAGGTGAAAGGCGCGAGCAAAAGAAAGCAAATGATGCCGAGGCCCAACCTGCGGAACCTACCGTCGTGGGTGTCTGGGAAACATTGAGTGGGCCCCCTGGGCTCTCAACCCCAAAACAGGCGGGGCCCGCAAAACCACCATTGGGAAGGCCTTTGCCGTCCCAAGGTTCGGAGGAGGGGGGAGGGGCGACAGCGGTCCAGGACGCAGGGATGATACCGCTTCATCCAAAAACACGGGGAGGCCCCAGAGTTGGCGACAGCCGCAGGGAGGAACGATGCCGATTGAACGCATGCAGGTGGGTTCTCGTTTTCTGGCAAGCCCAACACAGGTGCAATGCCGTCTCGCGGCCACATTTGCACCGGTCACTAATATCACCCTCGCATAACTTGGGTCGTGGCTCCTGCCTTGCATGCAGAAGCCTCCAGTAGCTATCGAAACCATCAGCTCTGAAAATTGTCAACCTCTTTTCGCATGTGTGAGATCTGCCAAGAACTTCCTATACGACTGCAGATC